TTATTTATTTGTATATATATACATACATACATACATACATAGAAACATACATACATACATACATACATACATTTATACATACATACGTACACACTCGCATACATACATACATACATACACAAAATACATATATTCATACATACACACACATACGTACACACACGCATACACACACACACACACACGCACACACACACACGTATATATATATATGCCTGTAGGTGTCTTTCTCTTTTCATTTGTAATTGGGGTGCTCTTCTTCATTTTGGATTGTATTTGGAGCAAGTCGGTACAATTGTAGGTCCTTGGAGAGAATACGCACAGGTGTACTCAAAATCATGTAGTTGACTACATTCGTCATGTCCATTTTGTTCATATTGTTATATGTGCTAGTTGTAGTGCTTGTAGATAGGGCGGACTCGTCATCCTATCGGTTTTTCGTTGTTGTGAATACTGATATGGTCTAGAAAGTACACGAGGTTCGATAAATGAGGTCTATTGGTAGCTTAGAATACTTAGCAATAGCAATGTTACCTGGCGTGTATATGTGCGTATAAGGCATGTTTCACGTTCGACTGTGATCTGTCCTGGTTCGCAAGGGGATGTCTTATAATATACTACAATACGGCGCAGAGGTCTCAGCATCATACGGTTCGAATCTTTACAAGCTCCCCGTTTTAGCTTCGTTGTACGTTGTGTTTTCGATTGGTATCGTCACAGTGGGTTGGCTATGGAGCAGGCTGACCCTTGACTGCATGCACTTGTACGACTGTTCGATTCGACGCTTTGGCAGTAGCAATAGAAAACAATGTTTGCAGGTACCATTTATCTATATACTATTCCAAACACCTCAGCTGTTTGCAAGTGCCATTTATCTATATACTATTCCAAACACTTCAGCTGTTTGCAAGTGCCATTTATCTATATACTATTCCAAACACCTCTGCAGCGGCTGCTGCGGCAAGCCTATCAGCGCCCCTCACACCTGGAGTTTCTCGGAAGCAGCAGTCGTCGCTCTCTGCTAGTATGGAAATTATTGTGTATATCGGAAAATTTTGGTTCAGATTTTTCTTTCTAATGTTGGAAAGCTCGGCTGATGTAAATGTAGGCCTGGAGTGTGAATGTGAATTCGAAGTGTGGGGTTTGAGTGGTCAAAAGCGCGTTGTATGGTTATAGGTGTAATGAGTGCATCTGAATTGAAAGTTATCTTTTCTGCTTGCTTCTGAGACATCTTGTGCATGTTGAGATTTCCTTTGCAGCGCCCACCTGCCGCTGTCCATGGCGGTAGCACTCTGCTCCTCGACTGTGCACTCAGCCACATCATGTCGATATAGTATACATGCCTATGTTATACCCGTTATCAGTTCTTACTATCAGTGTGTTTATGGCATGTACGATTCTATATTCCGATCCAAATCGATGCAGCCGTGTGCCTGTCCGTATTTATTTGTAGGGTCGAAGACACACAACTGTGGAAAAAACACAGTCTTACTGTTGCGTGTTCTTGTGTATGCGACCTATAGGACAAACTTGCGAGTGAGTATTTGCTTATCTAGATAACAAACATACACATACACCCACTCACAGACGCAAGCCCACGCACAAACCATCGACTCACCGATGCCGTTTCTCCGGGGACCAGCAATATTACACGAGGTCTAATAAATCTACCTGGAGAGAACATGTGTTTTCTGAATGTTCTGGTTCAGATTCTCTTCCATCTAGACTCCTTTCGAGTGGGTCTGCATTCCATCACAAATCACGTTTGCCCTTTTCCGGACAAGGATTCTTGCGTGCTGAGCTCTCTTCAGGTATTGCGAATCCTCCACTCTGTTGTTCGTAGACACTTACATTTCGATGGATGAACGTTTGCTGGTATGAATACACTCATGCTGCATGTTATTTTATAAGTCGCACTAGCTATATGTTACGACTAACGTTTGCTGGTATGAATACACTCATGATAAGTCGGACTAGCTATATGTTAAGACTAACGTTTGCTGGTATGAATACACTCATGCTGTATGTTATTTTATAAGTGGGACTAGCTATATGTTAAGAACGGTTGCTGGTATAAATACACGCATGCTGTATGTTATCCTAAAAGTCGGACTAGCTATATGTTAAGACTAACGTTTGCTGATATGAATACACTCATGCTGTATGTTATTTTATAAGTGGGACTAGCTATATGTTAAGAACGGTTGCTGGTATAAATAC